AAAACAGTCTTCAACACTTTTATCTTTTTGGTTCTGGGGACTGGAACCCAGGGCTTTGCAGAGGCAGAGCATGCACTCTTATCACTGATCTACAGCCCCAACTCTCTTTTTCATCTTAACTAATTACTAATCACATAATCACATGCTGTGGCTGCAGCTTTTGTAGCTTGGGTTGTGACAGCAAAACTACCACAAATTTATTTTTTCTTCACAGTTTCAGATAGATCTTAGGAATCTTAGTATATAGTTTTGTGGGGTTTTTTTTTTCCTGTCCTTATGAGAATTTTTCACTTAAAGGAAGCACTTACGGTTTCTTTGGCATGTCCAAATTGCCAGCATCACTACTCTTGTACATTGAGGCCATGATTAAGTAAAATAAAGGTTACTTGAACACTGGTACTGCTACTGTGACAGTAAATTTGATAACTTAGATAACTAGTAAGTGACTAACAGGCATGGAATATAGCCAGCATGATTGGACAAAGGGATGATTCATGTATTAAGCAGGAATAAATAAAGATTTCATAACACTATTCAGAATTGCTTACAATTTAAAACTTATGATTGTTTATTTCTGGATTTTTTTCAGTTAGTATTTTTGAACCACAATTGATCATGGGTAACTAAAACCATAGAAAGTAAAACCATGGATAAAGAGAACTATCGTATTCTACCATTGTTGGTAGTAGTGTTTCATAAAATCAGTTCAATCCACTTAGATGATGATGTTCATTTCCTCTATATCCTTCCTGATTTTCTGCATACAAGATCTGTCAATTCCTGAGAAAGGAGCATTGATGTGTTTTAGTAGTAAGTGTGAATATGTCTATTTATCCTTTCAATACTTTCAGGTTTTGCTTTATGTATTCTTGCGTGCATGTTACATTAGGATTCTTGTCTTCTTGGTGAACTGGCCCTTTTATCATTATGTAATGTTTCTCTGTCCCTGATCATTTTCTTTTCACTAAAGTGTCTTTACTCCAGCTCTTAAAAAAAAAAAAAAAGAACGCCTATTTAAAGTGTACGATTGAATGGGTTTTAGTATATTCACAGTCATATAACTGTCAACAAAATCAATTTTAGAACATTTTATCACTCTAAAAAGAAACCATATACCATTAACAATTATTTCCTATTCCCCTTAACTTTTCCCAACCATACCCTACCCCCTGCTATACTCCAGCACTAGGCATTCACTAAATTAATTTCAGTTTCTATGGATTTTCCTCTACTGGACATCTAAGTCATAATATGTGGTCACTTGTGACTGGTTCCTATCACAAGCATAATAATTATCGTTCATATTCCTTGTTTCAGGACATCTTTTTATTTATTCATTGATCTGTTGACAGACTGGGTTAATTCTAATTTTGGGCCATTATGAATAATGTTGCTATGCATAATATTTTGCTTGAATTTTTTTTTTCATTTTCTAAGTGTATATCTAGAATGGAATTGTTGGATCATGTGTTTGACATTTTGAAGAACTACCAGAATATTTTTCATAGTGGCTATACCATTTTTACATTCCCATGGGTCTTTTATGCAAATTGCAAATTCTCCATATCCTAGCCAACACTTAATTTTTTAATGTCTTTTTTGTGATAGCCACCCTTAATAGATGTATCTCATTATAGACTTTTTAGTTTTGTTTTTTGTGGTTTTGGTACTAGGGATTGAACTCAGGGGCAGTTGGCCAGTGAGCTACATCCCTAGCCCTTTTATTGTGAGGCAAGTTTTTGCTACATTGGTTGGGATCTTGTTTACTTGCTGAGGCTAGCCTCAAACTTGTGATCCTTCTGCTTCAGCTTCCCTAGTCACTGCACCACTATGTCCTGCTTGTTGTAGTTTCGTTTCTTTTCTTTCTTTCTTTTTTTTTTTAATTCTTTTGTAGTTGTAGATGGACAGAATGCCTTAATTTTTTTATTTTTATGTGGGGCTAAGGATCGAACCCAATGCTTCATACAGGCTGAGCAAGTGCTCTGCCACTGAGCTACAGCCCCAGCCCTTGTTGTAGTTTTTTAATTGCATTATGTTGAGCATGTTTTCATGTACTTTTTGGTATCTGGCTTTCTTTTGATTAGTATTTGTATACTGCATCCTTTTTTTATCCTTTTACTTTTAATGTATCTGTATTATATTTTAAGTGAGCTTTATATAGATAGCATATAGGTTTTCTTCCTCAAGTAAAATATTAGAAACCTTATCACAATATGGGCCTCTTTGTTTCTCCTCTTTCCTTATGTTGTAGTTATAGTTGTATTCTATATTACCTCTGTATATGCTAAAAATTCCATCAGACAAAAGTTGGAATTCTTATTTCTAAACACCAAACATTTTAAAGAACTAAAGAGACTATTTACTGTTATGTATAATTTCTATTCCTTTTTCTTCATTCCTGATGCTTTTTCTTTCTGATATCATATTGCTTTTATCTGAAGAATTCCTTTAGAATGAGTCTATGGCCACTATCAGGTGTTGGGCTTCCTCAGTACTATTGATGCTGGCTCTGTTATTTGTAAGGGTCTCTAGCACTAGCTGTACCAGTAATGGTGAGGGACCCAGGTGCTTCACAAGGAGAGGCCAGGGCAAGAATCAGAGCACCTCTTCTGTGGCACTCACATGCAGTCCATTAAGCAATGCATGACAGGCAAGGTGTGGGGGTAGGCAGCCAGCGGTAGAACTGCATAGTTGTGGTGTTCCTTTCTGCTACTGTAGGCATGTCCACCCAAGTGTGGGACCTCAGACCAACCGCTAACTGCAGGCACTTGGTGACAGGATAGTAGTAGCAAGACCCTCCACCCTCACTTCTGTCCTGTCTGGGATAGAGCAGAACAAAGTCAAGGCAAAATTCCTCCTGGGGCCTGTCTTGGCTGTGCACACTCAGGGTCAAGGCAATGGGGTTGGGGGGGGCTTTTATTCTAGGATTGCTTTAGATGTAATGCCCTCCATAGAACCAGCAAGAGTGAATCACATCTGCAGCCAAGCAAAATTCCTTTCAGTGGAAGTGCATGAGCAAGAGAAGAATGCTCCAGGCATCAGGCAAGCCACCCCGTCCCCTTAGACTGCAGGTACCTCAGCAATTAGAGCTCCAGCATTGCTCAAAGCTATCCAGCAGGCCTCCATAGGCAAAGCAGCAGTGGGACCCATGGAGTTTTTTCCCTGCCCTGTTAGTGACAGGAGCCTGTTTGGGTGAGGGGGTGAGGGGTCCCTTCATTTCAAGCACTTGAGTGAACCCCCATGCTACTTAATGATCATGCCCTTGGTTTCTAAGGGCATCATCCCCAGTCTCCCAGTTCTTGAGGGTATTGTCTTCTGTTCTCATGTCACAAACCCTGTTTATGACAGTGTAGGACACACAGCAGGTTTGAATCATTCATCTGCTGAGCCATGTTTGGTTCCTGAGGCAGCTACCTACTAAGCCAGTGAAGTTGAATGTCGAAGTTCCAGAAATGTGAATACATTGGGGTTTCTAATCCTTAAAGCAGTCCAAAGTCAGACAGTAGGTCTCTTCACAACATGGCTCCTGAACTGCACCCTATACATTCTCTGGAAGGTGATATTAAATCCTTTTCAAAGCAAGTCTGTTATGTAGATTTCAGGTAACTTACCTAGGTTAGGCAGCAAGCCAGTAGGCATAGTGAAACTTTGCAAAAGCAAGGGTTACCAGTATCCACACTGATTATATTTTTGTGAGACTGTTTTTTACCCTTACCCTGCAAATGGAACTTTTTTTTACCCTTGCCGTATCCCAGTTGTGGGGTCCGGTGGCAAGTGCTAGGCTATTTTGTTTCTCTTACTGTATTCTTCTCCCAGGTTTATAAGAATTTACAAGGTTACAGTATCTCGCTCCCTGTTTTCCAGTGTTCTCCCATGGTCACTCACCTGTGAATTCAACTATATACCTATTACTTTGTTTCATTGTTGAGGGGGAGGTGAGTGCTGGGTACCTCTAATAGTCATCTTGAAATTCCCATTAAATTTCCCTTATATATACCAAAAGTTTCCCTTAAGAGCCAGTGTTATTCACATCAAAACTTTTTTTTCTTTTCACCATATACTAAGGAAAATACAAGAGTTAGGATTATAATGTGATTTTATATAAGAAGTATACCCAAGAGAAGATTGAGACTTTGAATAGCATGACACATAGAAGCAATTTTGTCTAGTTAGTAATATGTGTTTTTGAGGAGTGTCTCAGATCACCTGACTAAGTAGAGGCTAAGCAGAGTTCTTTATACTCTTATTTAAACTTCAAGCTTATATCATTTCTAACAAGCGAAATCACAAGGTGTTCTTAGATACTTTTTTCTCCCAATGAACAAACTTAAATGAAGCTTTAGAAGTGTAATTTTGTATATGTGAAACTAAAACAATGTGATATGCAGACTTTGTTTTGAGTCTCAATTTTAATTTTAATTATAGATATTCTTTTAGAAATGAGTTGCACAATTGAGAAGGCACTTGCTGATGCTAAAGCCCTTGTTGAAAGATTGAGAGATCATGACGATGCAGCAGAATCTCTGATTGAGCAAACCACAGCTCTCAACAAGCGAGTAGAAGCAATGAAGCAGGTTTGATTTTTTTTTCTTTGATTCCATTTAACAGAAGCAGTCATTGACATTTATGTTTTGCTTGAATCATAGCTACTGCTTTTATCTGTTCCCTAAATTTTGAAGTAGCTTCACTTGCATGTTTAGTCTGCTTTAAAGGAGGATATGTTTGTCGTGTTTAGATGGCATACATGTATGGATGTATGTGTGTTCTAAAACCTATAGATTTGCTGAGCACTATAATCCCAGGAACTTGGGAGGCTGAAGCAGGAGTATCACAAGTTCAAAGCCAGCCTCAGCAACTTGGCAAGGCCCCAAGCAACTTAGTGAAACCCTGTCCCTTAGTGAAAATTAAAAGGACTGGGCATGTGACTCATTTGTAAAGTGCCCTTGGTTCAATTCCTACTGCCAAAAATTTAAAACAAAACAAAACAAAACAAAACAAAAACTGTAGATTTGATTACTTTTCTGATAGAGATGCACATTTGAGTTTAGACCTCAAATGAATTTATTAGGTCTAGATAAATTTGACAAAGACCAGATAATACCTTTTACTAATGTTGACATACATTTTGCTTTGTCTTGTGTAAGACAGATTTGTTTATGTAGTTTTCTTATAAAAGTACTTAGATGATGCTATTTAACAACCAAATATTTTCTAAAGTGATGCAAAGAAATACCTGGTTTACAGCCTATGCAGTAACACATTAGTACTTTCTATCTTGTTTTTCATTTAATGCTCTCAACTAAAAAGAAAATTAAAAGGTTTTCATAACTTGATTATTTTAATATGTATAACAGTATCTTTCAGTGAACTATAGAGTCTAGCTACCATTTTAAACCCTCCTCTGATAAAAATTTTTAACTATTAAGAAGACTATATAATCTCATGTATTGTGATAGAAATTAGAGGGGAAAATGTATGTTCACAGCCAACTTTTATGAAACTCACCCATTCTGTAAAAGGAAACAACCTGAGGTAGTGCTCTTAACAAAGCTATGAAAAATAGTAAAGCAAGTTTACTTATTCTGTTTTGCAGTCTTGTTGCCCTAAACAGATTACCTGCCTCCATAATGTCTGGTTTAACTCTGGCACTCCAGTGAACATATGCCTGGTATTAACTTGTTTTTAAAAAAGGAATTTGACACCTGAAGTTAAGAATCAGGAATGTTGTTGTGAATCCATTACTAGGTGTCTCATAATGTCTTGAAAGTAAATGATTGCAATTTTGAAGTTACATTCTTTCTTTTGGGGGGTGGGATACTGAAGATTGAACTCAGGGGCACTGGACCACTGAGCCACATCCCAGTCCTATTTTTTGTATTTTATTTATAGACAGGGTCTCACTGAGTTGCTTAGTTCCTCACCATTGCTGAGGCTGGCTTTGAACTTAACATCCTCCTGTCTCAGCCTCCTGAGCTGCTAGGAGTACAGGTGTGCACCACTGGGCCTGGCTCACTTATTTTTTTAATGCAAATTATTTTGCATTTCTTCCGCACATATTCTTTTAAGAAAATTTATATACCATAAAATTCCACCCTTTTAAATAATACAGTTCATTGGATTTCAGTATATTCACAGGTTGTGCAACCATAATCACTAATTACAGATCATTTTCATCACCCTAAAACTGTAGACCCATTAGCAGTATTTCCCTAGCTTCCCTTTCTCTTCCCCACTAATAAGCATGAATCTTTTCATCTGTGATTTGCCTATTCTAGATAAAATGATATAATATGTGCTTTTTGTGATTGGCTGCTTCTTTTTTTCCCCCTGGTACCAGAGATTGAACCCAGGGGCACTTAACCACTGAGCCTAC